TCCCTCTGCTGAGCCCTTTAGTGCAGCCACTATGTCCATCCATTTGTGGAGCTCCCAAATTCTGAAGCAGTTAAAGAGAAAACATCAGCCAACCTCCGCTGACGAAGCCTTAGCCAACTGAAAGCCTCCACCCACAGAGGGACACATCAATCATCAACTAATGTCTGAGAGTGGGCCCGATCAATCACACCTCAAAGGAAAGCTTCAAAAGCAAGCCCAAGGACCATCAAGAGGCCAGCCTCTCACCTTCCCCCAAGCTTCCATATACACAGCATAATGTGACCCTCTATAATTCCAGATGCCACCGTGGCAAAGAGCAAGGGAAAGGTGGAGGACTTGGGAAGATTGAGTGACCGTCTAAAGTACATTAAGCAAAAGCTCAAGAGACCTCTTAAATCATTGAACCACATTGAATTTTAACATCCTATCGGGCTCAATTTAGATTTTTGTTCCCACAGTTCACCAGGCTCGGCCCTCTTGAAGATGACCCCATTAAGTTTTAGGGAAAAGCTGTATTTTCTTTGCACACCCAAATTGTTGTAAAAAAAAATTTGCTGTCACGGTACAATGTTATTGTTTGGTTTACAGGAAGCGTCTGTAATAGTTTTACGTGGGCTCGAGCAAATCTTTAAGGCTCAGAGTTAGCCCTTCTCTAAGCAGTTACAGATGAAATTCAGTGTGAGGTAATGGAGGAGAATGGGTTGGAAGTCGGCTCTGAGTCCTGGCCCAACTGACAATTTAGTATCTGTGTGCTTCACTGAAAAAAAGAAAATCACTCATAGCTTCCCAGCAGATGTGTCCTGACCGATGTACTAGGATATTGCTAAAATATTGATCCCTTCTGTCCATGGGATAGCCAAGGCTGGGCCTGCAGCAGCTGGAGCCCCAAGTCCTGAAATCCCTGGCAGCAAACAACCTTTGATCACCCCTTTCTGCTATAATATAAGAAAAGAGTGTATTGTCATGTGAAAATTGGGGTGGGGGCGCGGTAATCATGCCTTCATATGAAGAATAGATGAAAGGGGAAATGAACAAAATAGGTGATGTCTGTAATCCTTTTCATTGTAATTATTCATGCTTATAGGAATGCAAGGGCAGCTAGTATTGGTACTAGTAAGAGAAAGAAGGGTAGTCACAAATGCTGAACTGACAATAATAATCCGAGGTCTGGTAGAGATGCTTAAAATGTGGCGACATTAATCCTCACCACAACAACCATCAAAAGTAAGTATATTAGTAGTATCACGCTAGGCTAATAATCATATGAATGCCAATCACAGAAGCATTATAGACATTTCCACACAACTAACCTGAGAGAGTAAATTCTGCACTTACTTACACAGATAAGTCTCTGATTGCCCCCAAGCTCACTCTTAAAAGAAGTGACTGAAAAGACAGCTTTCATTTTTCTCCAATCACCAGGATTCCTTTACAGTTGGCTCAACAGGGATTTACCTGAGGCTGTGGTTGCAGGAACATCAGGAGGGACCTCTAGGCTGCCCTGGTATGCGAAGTCTAAATCAAAGTTACCTGTGTGAGATTAAAAACTTGCCTCTTTCTTTCAGCAACCTGTTTTGTTGTAAGTAGATTAATTTAAAAACTAATTCCTAGAGTAATGATTAAAGATGGTAAGTGGTCAATCATTAGTGCAATTCCCACACACAAATGAGGCTATTATCTTCAAAGTGAGTAAACCGCTTTAAAGATGAATGCCTTAAACCTGTTGAGAGGGTTTTCATTTGAATATGAAAGCCGCCTGCTTTGGCTTGCCTATCCCTTCCAGTGAAATTTGCTCATTTATATATATATACATATCAATAAAAGATTTATTGCATGCAAGCCTGGTCTATTAACCATTTTGAAATTGAAGTGAGTTTTTATGGACTTCCAAGATGTTTCTGTTCAATGAGCTTGCACATATTTTAACACTTTGGGGCAAAAGAAGGGAGAGCAACCTTCTTGACAGTGAATTGACTCACAGTCATCATACTTAGCTGCAAGCAAAAAGGTTGGGGGATTGAGTCCCCTGGGAGGCACCTGGTGATTGACTTCTGAGAAATCAACCACTGAGCACCTTGGGGAGCTTAGTTCCACTGGACACACCTGGTTGCCCACAAGCCAGAATCTACCAGAAGGCAGCTGGAGCTGGTACTGGTAAGGAGTATGTACCAGAACAGACCCAAGGGAAAAATGGTAACCACGCCGGCTGGCAAGCATCTCTTTTAGCTTTGGGGTTTGGGTAGCACAATACCCAAAGTGCCAAAAAACGGTAAAGTGCCTTTACAGATGATCTTTTTAGTTATCAATGCAGTAATGCTCAAAAGTAAAGATTTTTATTATCACTCGAGGGTAAAATGACAGGAATTTCTCTGGCTACCTCCCAAGAAGAGGGTTTTAACCATCCTACTGGAACACTTGGCTATATTTCTTAATGGCTTAGCCGTCAGAACACCAAGAAATCCACACATTTCAAATTCTCAGAAGGGAGCGGGCTGCAGTTACACTTCGCTTTCTGTGAGCAAAGCCTGCCATCTCGTGGGGATTGTCCAGATAACAAAATTACATGCGTTTCATGGAGCCAGGAGTTGGGTTTCCTTTTGATTATTAAGAAGTTTGCAACTACACTTGGTAAACACACACACACACACACACACACACACACACACCTGTTTTGCTTATCATTAAAAGACTAAACTTCCCTTTAGGTCTTTTTTTTAAAGAGTGGTTGGCCTTTAAATATCTGAAAAGAGAAATGATTGCTTCCCTTTTTTTAAAGTACTCCTTCCCTCTGTTTCTAACTCGGTGCATTCTACTCCGGTGCGCATGCGTTCACTAGGAGCCCTGGCAGTGCTGTGGCCTGAGCACGGAGCTGCTATTGGCAGCACCAGAGACCCTCAGGAGCGGTTCTAGTCTGTTCGCTGTAGGGTGGCTATAGGCCCAAATCCGCACAATCGCAGTGAGTTTGGTATGATTGTTGTGGGGTCATCCAATAATATTTAAAATTGTTCTACTGACTTCAATTGATCAAATAATCTACTGTTTTGTTTGTTTGTTTTTTAACTGCTCTGAGGCAACAGATCATTAGACAAATCAAGAATATCAGAAGACTGGAGGAAACATACAAGCCTGGGGAAGGCTCTCAGGAAGGGTTGGTCCTGGTGTGGTGGGAAGCTCCCTGCCTGGACCACCAGGGCGAGGGATGGAAATAGGCAATGTGAGGATAGACCAGATCACCTGGGATTGTCTGACTCTGGCTCACCACTGACTGTGCACTTGCTAACTCGGGGGGACTGTGGATGGCACCACCAACACACAAAATCCTCTTTGCTCTCTCCTGTTGCCCAGGAAACTGTTGCCCAGGCAACAGTTCAGAAGGGTAGCTATCCCTGCAGTGAGAAAGGTACCCCCTTCTAAAGAGTTCCGTTCTTCCCTCTAATGTTTTAAGCAGTCCTAATGCCAAGAATCCAAGATCCTGAGCAGGAGTACACAGGCATGAATCTGAACTATGTGGAAATTGTAAACCAAACTGAGAAAACGCTAGATAAAAATGCATGCTCCCCTCCACGCTGGATCGACACACCTGCATAATCACAAGGAGACCAGGTTGGAATTTTTCATCTGTAGAGACCTGGCAGTTCTATGCTGACTCGGGGCACAAGGACTTGGCTTCTGGTCCGGCCTCCTCCCACCACCAGCTCCGTCTGGCCCAGTGAAGTGTCCTGACGAAAGGTGACCTCGCGCTACACATCTCTGCCCACACTGCCTGCACACACCTCCCCTGTGCCCCTAGACTTGGAGGCAGCACCCTTAGCTGAGGGGTCTGCTCTCAGGAAGAAATGCCTGAGGAGCAGACCTTCACAGGACCCAGCCAGCACTTGGAACTCTTTGGGGAGGCAATTCCAGTGTGCCCTGAGGATGGGGCGGACTGTGAGCTGGTACATCACCTGACCTTCCTTCTCCCATGTGAGGGGTGCCCCTGGGGAGGGCAGAGCGAGGCCTGTCTCAGGTGGATCTAAAGAGGATATAGAATGGAGGCTATACCGTCTATGAAAACGACACTAAGCCACAATAGTCGCAGGCAGTAGGGGAGGGGAGAAGGGGAGGGCCATTTCTTATTTGCATTGAGTTGCTTCTGAAAGCCTCTGGTCCACTTTGCTTCTGGGTCTCCAAGGTAAGATGATTATTTTTCCCTTTGGCATGAAGAGGGAAACTAGACCAGCTCTGTGAAAGACCAAAAACGAGGTATTTTATCCAGTTCAAACTGACCCCAAGGCTTTCTCCCACTCGGTGTTAAATAATAGAAGTCTTTTTAATTTAAATTTCTTTGTCTGTAGCATATGCTGGGCGACATTATGTCAGCGTGTTGCTCTAAGCAGCAAAGCATTCTTCAGAAAGACATTAAGATCCAGAGCATCACTCTGTAGGGAAGGAGCGCAGAACGGCGACAGCTTGAAACGACATAAAAACAGTGCTTCTGAAATGTAATTGTAAGATCACGTGGCAACAAACCAGAGGGGAAATATTTATAATTATAGAACGAAACAACCACCCCAAAAAGACAGAAAGAAAAGAGAGGAAGAGGAGGAAGGAAAAGAGGGGAGCACTTTTATTAGTAAAAATAAACCATCGCCATTGGGTGACACCAACTCGAGGTAACCCATAGGTGTACAGTTGTGTTCCACTGCACTTCGATGCCTATGGTTCTTCCAGGTCCATCCCGGGGCCTTTTTTCCCCAGGCACCTCGGAGTGGGCTCAAATCTCCAGCCTTCTGATTGGCTTCCTTAGCTGTGTATCCTCCTGTAACGCTTGATTCTGAAGTGTGTAGAATCCAAGCCATGACAGCTGGGGGTCCCTGGCATTCCCTCAAGACCTGATCTCCATGTGCCTTTTCCCTGGACAGGTGCTGTTGTGTTCAAGGTGGGTTTATAAATGGATGCCGCGGGGCTCAAAGGCAAGAACTGTTCCCGTAGTGACACGTGGCTGTGTTCTTTACCCCAAGGATTCTGGAGCTTCAGCAGAACGGTGACATGGACATCCTAAGGCACAAATGGTGGCCTAAGAATGGCCAGTGTGACCTATATTCCTCAGTGGACACAAAGCAGAAAGGCGGTGCCCTGGATATAAAGAGCTTTGCAGGCGTTTTCTGTATCCTGGCCGCTGGAATTGTGCTCTCCTGCTTCATAGCCATGCTGGAGACGTGGTGGAACAAGAGGAAGGGCTCCCGGGTCCCATCGAAAGAGGTACTTGATTGACAGCTTACTGTCTAAGTTGAACCCCCACATGAGCCTAGTCTTCAGGGAGGATTATCACAAGGAAGAAGATAACGAGTTAGGGTGGTTCACGGGAAACTTTCTTTTCTTTGAAAATTGACAGTACATTTGTGAGACATGGACGTTGATAAGACAAATACTAGTGTCCCCTTCATGACATCTAAAAGGATGAAGGGGAGATTCTAGCATTCTGCTGACTGGCAGTGACCTGTGCTGTTCAGGGCCTTGAAATTCTTCCCAGAGCATAGCATAGACTCCATGCCAATGATTCTGAGCTGCTCCTATTCCCTTGACCCATTCACCAAGGTGCGCACCATGTTCCTTCAGTGAGTTGGTTGTCCGTAGATATGCTGGCTGGTGTCTCTGAAATGCAAAAATAACCAGGACTTGCTCTTGACCACCAGTGGCTGCTCCCCTCTCGCTATATGTAAATCTATTCGAAATGATATGTTTTTAGCTCTTTGCTTGGGCCCAAGCTACAGACTCCCCATTGTGGAATCATCCAGAATCCACTGTTTATCTTTCTCACTGGACCCAGCTCAACTCCAGAGCCATACTCTTTTTTTTTTTTCCTCAGGAGCTTTAGAAGAGTAGCTCCACAATTCCATAAACACTTTTTCTCTTTAAAAAGGAAGCACCTTGTTTCATTTATATATATGTGCCTCTCATATATATAGATGAGCTCCCTAAGTTATCAGAGGATTCCTGGTGACATAGTTGTTATGTATTGAGCTGCTAACCACAAGATCAGCCGCTTAAAACCACCAGTCCCTCCTCGGGAGAAAGAAGATGCTTTTTATTTCCAAAAATGATTTACAGTCTCCAAAACCCACCGGGCAGTTCTCCCCTGTCCTATAAGGTGGCTGTGAGGCAGAGCCGCCTGGATGGCAGTGAGATCAACTGTCAGCGAAATGCATTTTTCTTTTTTTTTTTTTTGCATTTTTCTTAAATAGTGAAATCACAATACAAATTGAAATGAAAAAGGAACCAAAGTTTGCTAACTATTTTGACTTGCTGGATAGTTGCCCTGCTCACTGCCACTTGAACTTGGGGTAGCTAAAGAATGCTGAGCTGGGCTCCTCAGAGGAATGGCTCTAATGCATAAATCAAAATGACTTCTTATTTGCATATGAATGTTTGCATGCTAATGTGTTCTTTCAAACACTGTTTTCTAAAGTAGACGAAGGATTCTTTCCTATCTTATACTCAGACTTGTTTGGCACTATTTATAAAGGAAAGCTTGGCTTAGCAAAGATAAAATTTTGCCTTCTACCTGTTTAAATGATCACAGATTCTAGGGTAGTGAGAGATGAGTTAAAAATTAATCAGGTTTTATTGAAACGTTTGCTTTGTGGAACAAACTTCAGGTATCTGTGTTGACACTGATTCAATGCAAAACACCACACCAATGCAGCATTAGGACTGAGACCACAAATGCTCAAAACCCTGGAAATTAAGGAGTCCCCAGCTCCTTACATTTTGAATTACTATATATGGTATTAAATGTTTGCATTATCATATGTGTTGATAGATGACTACATTACAGTTGCTTTGGGAACCATAAAATTATCTCTCTCAACCCTCTAGCGTCTCAGTGATAATATTGCATTAATGGATATTTCTATTGGCTTTTGAAATGAGAAAGAAGATGGAAAACAATGAAGCACATCAAAATATTTTTTTCACCAAAGAACACAAGAATCACACAATGCAGAGAATGCAGATGCCATCTTAACTCGGGAATACTAGCCCACACCTCATGAACAAATATTTTCTCCTCTTCCATGTTTGGTTATGAATAAGATTGATCACACAGGCAGTTCTATTTTAATTTAAGTCTTATTTTTCAAATATCAGACCTTAGTGCTTATTTGTTCGTGGAGATCATAAGAGGTTTATGAATTTATTTCATCCAACATAAAATTGAGGTTATATTCATTTTTGGTTTTGTTAATAAGTTCCTGACTTTTAGCATAGCTCAAAGCATCTTTGCTTTAAAGGCCATTGGACATGAGTCAATCATAAACTGAAGTTGTCACCTACATCTCCTGACTTAATTGGGGTCTCTGAAAGTCCCGCTGACCTCAGAAAATTGTCTCATGCAGGTGCCACACAGGTAGATTCTATGAAACCCCACCATTCGAAGTTGATTCTTTTGCGTTTAAAGATCATAAACCACTTGTACAAAGACCCGGTACACAACCCTAGATAGCGAGAGAGATAAGCACTGGCCTATGGAAGGATGAGTGGTGGACAGGAATAAAAATCCACGTTGGAATGAGACACCTTGAGAAAGAAAGGCATGTGTCAAAGGAAAATTGGGATCAGGGGAGGCCGGGTGTGGGTTGTTCACACTACACTTTGTCTTTTTTACCATTTTCCTAGACCCGTCCCTGCTCTCAGAGAATGATACTCCCCCATCTCCTGCTTCCATGTCTTCATAGTTGCATGTGGTGTATGTTCATCTTAGAAATTTTGCTGAAAGAAAAACAGTGGTGATCGATGACCTTGAGGACAGGGGTCATCTCAGAACCATGTTGGCACCCCTAGAACTGAACACAGTGCCTGGCTCATATTAGGTGCTCAATAAATATTAGTTGAATGAATAAACCCCCAAGTTCAGTTAATTACATATCATGTTTACTGAACTACTTTTTTTTTCTTTCCTTTCTGTTCTTTTTTTTTTTTTTCAAACCATGGGAGCTAGTACTGATGAGAACCTTATCTTCTTTTTCTTCATCTCCAGGATGACAAGGAGATTGACCTGGAGCATCTCCATAGACGTGTAAATAGCTTGTGCACAGATGACGACAGCCCCCATAAACAGTTTTCCACCTCGTCTATTGACTTGACCCCTCTGGACATTGACACTTTGCCAACACGACAAGCACTGGAGCAAATCAGTGACTTCAGGAACACTCATATCACCACAACCACCTTTATCCCCGAGCAGATCCAGACTCTTAGCCGCACACTGTCAGCTAAAGCGGCCTCTGGTTTCGCTTTTGGCAACGTGCCTGAGCACCGAACTGGCCCTTTTAGGCACAGGGCACCTAACGGGGGCTTTTTCAGGAGTCCGATAAAAACAATGTCATCTATTCCCTACCAACCAACCCCTACTCTGGGGCTGAATCTGGGCAGTGACCCGGACCGAGGCACCTCCATATGAGCAGACAGCAAAAATTGCTTCACTCTTTCTTTTTCCTTTTTTTTTTTTTTTAGGACTCCCTTTGCAAGGAGCAACTGTAATATTGTGGGACTAACATGGATGTAACATTAAAACAAAATCAGGATTATTAGTAATTCTAGTTTTTCTCCTCACCTTCTCCTTTCTCTCTCCTCTTTCTCCCTTTTTCCTTTCTGCCCATATGGTTCTCCCTCCCCTTTTGTTCATGCTTCCACTTGTTCCCCTAGAATAGAGTATCCTAGAAGCCGATTAGTCTGGTCTTCATAGACTGTGCTTCAAGTACAGGAAATGTGCACTGAGTACCCTAAAAGTGTATGCAGGATTCATTTTACATCAAGACCTCTCACGTAACATTTCTGTTTTTCAGAATATAATTGCAATAACTTCAATCTTTTCACATTCTTCTGCTGCACCCATACCAAGCTCCCCTGCTGTTGAGTGTCCTTTAACTGTGGACCAAAAGCAACCCCTGCAGTGCTTATAAAACAATTTGAAGACCATTCAGGCCACTTAATATGAGAATGCAATTTTGTAGGATTAAAAAAAAAAAAAAAGCCATGAATTTGCCAGTCACGACTACAGTTTAAACTACTCTTGCACTGCAACAGTGCATATGGCCTTTATGTGATTGTACAGTACCAGAAGTTCTTTCTTATGTACAGTAAACGTTATCCTATGGCAGAAGCCTCAATTGTGTTAAATAAGCTAGTATCTCATATATACATATATATGCACCTATATGATGTGTATATATATAAAAAGGCAGCCATTGCTATTGCAATTCATTTAATAAAGCTTTAGTTTATTAAAACAATTTAAGTATTGTATACAGGAAATATGTATAGTGCAGGGGGTCTTTTCAGTTCGAAAAGATGTTGCTTTAATGTTGTTCTGAACTGCATTGTTGGCCAACAGAGGATATTTTATACTTTTGTTATTAAAACATCCAGGGATTTAATATTTATTCCTAGATGTGACTCATTTTAATGGGTTTCACATTTGTTATCCAGCAGTGTATAAGGCTAACCTCGATCCCTGTACTTTTAATGGATTATCTAAATGGGAAACGCTGTTAGTCTAACTATAGCAGCCACAGCACATAGAGCTCCATAGGAGCTGAAACAGATTGTTGAAGGTTAGTAAATTCTCTTCCAAAGCAGTAAGGCAATCAGTACAAAAACTGCAGTAGGGGGGAGGAGTCCTTAAGATCTTGATGTGGCCTTAATTACTGTCATGTTACCCTAAAAAGAAATTATAATAACCATACTGGGCTCTCAACATAAACACCCCCCCCCCTTTTTTTAATTCAGTGCTCTTTGGAGGAGCTATGTATTTTTTACATTCATGCCAAGTGTGTAGAAAGACGAAAGCAAACACAGGGCCTGTTTGTGCACGGCCCTTTTAAAACAGCATTCATCCCTGTTAGAAACGTAGAAGGAACTTCCTTAGTGATCCTTTAAAAAAATGTGATAAGTAGGAAGCAAGAACTCACCTGTGTTTTATGCAGTCATACACTTATGTTAATCTAATTCATGCCGAGCTAGGATTGATATAGGAACCAACCTATGTGATTTGCTTTAGGAGAAATTTAAAAAGGTATATTCTTAAGGTCTATTATATTTTGATGCTAATTCTGTTCTGGGGAGCATCTTGTACTGTCACTGTTTTTGTACTAAATCTTCAAATATTGTCTACTGTGTAAGGCAGAAAAATTTCTTATCATGAAAAAACCATTTCGTTTCCGGGGTAACAAGTACCTACGTGCATGCACAGCTTGTTTTCC